GATTCATTTTGAAATATATAATTTTTATAAAATATATTTATATAAAAATTGAGATATTGATGGTCAAAGTGTCGCATTGGAGACCGTGAAAAGTCAAATATGAAGTTAATTTTAGGACGGAGGGAGTAATAAAAATAGCGGAAAAAATTAGGAGAATCTCACATTTGACATCATAGTGTCACACAGACCAACAAGTGGCTATATGGAAAAGTGGGATAGGAGTCTGTGTGTTGGGCAAGCTTCCCACACCAGATAATTATAACGAATATTACTCCGATATAAAGAAATGTGAAATATTATCAATTGGTTTAATTTTTTGGCAAGATAGTAGATTCGGATTTTTGTGAGTATCTCTGGGCTTACAAGCTGGTTAAAGTTGCCAATAAGATTCTAACTTTTAAATAAGCAGATCACGTGTTTCTCTGTGCTTTGACCTATAAGCTAGAAAAAATAAGTTGGTCTTGCTTACTTATTTTTATGTTAGTTTATTCAGTACTTTAGTTTGACCACATTATTTATAAAACTAACGCTCATCTATTATGAATATCTCCAAATGGTTTACGGAGTATATATCATTTAACTCATTTTATCTATACGAAAAAATATTTAACTTATAAGTAGTTTATAAGTTAAAAATTACTCATTAATCTCCTGTTTCGATTTTTTCAAATTATTTTATATAAAAATGGTGTAAAATTAAAAAAAAAGACATATTTAAGAACTCGATTAGAAGACCTACAAAACTAGTGATGATATGATTATATTATTTTATTAAAGGACTAACGCAAACAGAGAAATAAATTTAATAAATTTGACTATGTGAATTGTAAATAGGCAATTTAATTTGGGATGGATGGAATGTTTATCATTATTAAGTCAATAAGCATCAACACAAAAAAATACTGACTTTATTCAAAAAAAATTGCTCAATCTCATCTGGCACTCCACTCGATTCCCCCGACCCACCAAAAATTCAACAAAGTGTTGTTTTGACAATCATACTTGCATCCTGTAGTGTAGGGGCTTAATTCTTGCTCCATGCAAAATTTCGAAATTGAATGAATCGTATGATAAGACAAGAACACTAAGACTATGTTTGGTACACGGAATTCAAGCCGTGAAATTAGAATTGGGGAATTTAATTATAATTCTGGTATTTGGTAGCACAAAAATATGTGAATTTAGAATTTGTAGTGCAAAAAATGAATTGGAATTGGATAACTCAATTGCATCAAATTCAATTTCATAGAATTTCAATTTCAATTCCGTCAATTCTGTGTATCAAACGGATCCTAACTAATTGAGACATATCACACTATTTATCTCTCCCGCCAACCTCGGGGCAGTGGTGTGGGACACCACGAGATTGGATTCTAATGGGCCGTTACCTGCCTGGCCCAATCTATGGGCTCAGGTGTGTTTTGGGACCCGCGGGTATTTGAAAGTTACTATCGGGCCGGCCCAAGGCTTTGGGCCCTTAGCTAACCCGAACAAAGGAGTGGGAAGTCCGCCTGTTGAGAAGGAGACCGCGGCTAGGTTACGAAGAAAGAGCCATAGAAATAAGATCACGGGAATTAGCTTCCATAATCGATAATTACCTTAATTATGTAGAGAGATATGTATAAATAGAGAGGATCGAAACAAGGATCCTCAAGCAAAATCTAGCGTGTAATTTCGTAATTCTCGAGTTCTTGAATCAATATTATTTTTACGATCCGCTCATCAAGTGGGATTGTTTAGTGGAATTCTTGTCCATCAGGTTCCACACACACTCTCTCTTTTTTGTTAAAATAAAAAAGAAATGCTTGAAGTTGAAGTTTAGGGTGGGGTTTTGAGTGGTAGAATCACACCAGCAGATGTAGTCGAAAGCTAACTTAAAGTGTGCTACTGGTCAGTAGCACTTGCCTGTTTCGGCCAAAGGGTATTTAATACGCAATATCATTTACATTTTGACTTTCCATAAGTATTAATCCTGTGGAACAAAAGAAAACCTTCATTGCAGTGAGTAAACATAAAAGTCCTCTTAACAAATAAAAGGAAAATCATTGACTTTTTTTTAACAAACAAAAAAAAAAATCATCAATGGTTTCATTAAATGCATGTTACTTTAATTTTATATTACCTCATTTGACACAAATGAATTCAATCTGAATTGACCGCTTGTGTAGTTGTGTATATGTTGTCACACATTGTTCTAAATCTCCTTTGGTCAAGCAATATTTGCTTGATTTTAAGTTGCACGAAGATGAGGACGGGTATGTTCGAGTTTTTGAATATCATCCTAATCGAATGCTCGTCTATTTGTATTTGTTTCTGTTTAATATTTGAATCAAAGTTCACGATTGTATTTGTGCTTGTATTTGAAATATTCTAATTTGTCTTGTTTGAATGCAAATCTTGAATTGAGTTAAAAGTATTTGATCTGTATTCTCGAGCATCGTCGTTGTAGCTAACCATCGCTCCAAAGACATGAATACTGTGCTGACAAGAATATGGATGAAATATAGAATTCTTGTAGGTTTGTATTAGTTAGATTCGGTTTGAGTTACAATGGAGGATTCACTTCCTATTTATATTATAATTCTATCATATACAAGGTATGTAGTTTCGTGCGCTACATTATCGGTAAATCAACTATCGTGCATCAATCGTGGCGGAGAATCAGTCATCAATCAGTCCTCAATCCCACGATTTGGAGAATCACGTTTCTCTCTTACACCGTGTTTAATCGACCTCTTTGGGCCGGACTTGGCCTGCCACTTTGCGTGTGCTTTGGGCTTCGGCCTCTCCTCCTGTTCCGGACTCGGGTTCTATTCCTGTTGGGTTGCGAAATCACATTTGGGTCCCATTGGGCTTGCTCTAAGGTCCCAATATCTGTCACCTATACTGTTTCCGCAATTTTGAACTTCCTCCGTCCTTTTTAAATATTCTTATTTGACTTTTCACAATCTTCAATGCAATAATTTAACCATTAATATTTTTATTTATACTATAGATAGGAAAATGGAATATTTTGAAACATGTTTCAAAATAAACTTATTGATATTAAATTTATATAATAATTTAATACTCCCTGCGTCCAACAATAATGTTCATATTCACTATTCACAGGGTAAACTTTATTCACTTTGTTGACCTACTTTTGTGTCCTATTTGATAAAATAATATAGTCATGTTACCTCAATTTTGTAGATCTTTTCATGTACTGTAGTTTTTAGATATGTAATTTTTATTTTTTAATTCCATACCATTTTTTCATATAAAATGATTTAAAAATAATTTTTGTCAAATATCGCAACGCACAATGAAAATTTTATTTATGGACGAGGGAGTATATTTTTCATTTAATTTATAATGAAAGTTAAAAAACACCCTTGAAAGTCAACCTGAGAATATTCAAAAGGGACGGAGGGAGTATTGTACATTTGTACAAGATGGGTGCATAAATGAGATTCAAAGTCAAACGCCTCTTGTAGTTGTAGTACTACTTGCTCACATATGCACAAGACTATTTATAAAAGCCCACTTTTGTCATAAAAAAGGTGAGTCCTAATCTCACTTCAACTTTCGCCTACCCATCCCAACATAAAACCCAAAATGGCATTCTTTAAAACAGATTGATAAACATTATAAAATCTCAAAACCTCCTCTCTAGTAGAATAAGTTAGCAGTCCAAGTACCAATGAAAGTGATATTAATGGGAATTTAAAAACGTGGGTGATCACTTCAAATTACAATACATATTGAGTGGTACAAAATTGATTTCACAATTGTTTTGCTCTTCTAAAATACTTTCAAAAGTTAATTCATTATATTAATATTATATATACTCTTATGTAATTTTTAGTTAATTGATTAACGGAGTTCATCTAGTGTGAATAAAAAAAATCAAGCTAGTACACCATAAGTCTTTATACTTTTCATAAAGTACATGGTTTTTTCCCATTAACTTTCAAAATTACACCATTAGTTTTATTATTTTTTTTATTTTAGTTTGGTTAAAGACGATAAACCAAGAAAACATTTTAAGGTTTCCACCATGTACCTTTTTAGAAAAATATAGAACTAATAATACTTTTTTGAATTTTGAAAAGTATAAAGACTAATGATGCACTTTTAAATGTTCGTGAAGAAAAATAAACTCTTTTTAAAGCACTCAAAGGGTAAAATACATATTTTATTAAAAGTATAAGTACTAAGGGTACATTTTTTGAAAGTTGGAATATAATGTGAATATGAACTTTATGAAAAAATAGATAGTCCTATAATGTTCTTCCCGGTTCTGTTTACGATGTTTGACCGGTTTTATTTTCAATTCAATTTATTTGATTGTTGGTGTAAAATTAAAAAATAAAATTTATATATTTAAAAACTACATCAAAAGTTCTACAAAATAAGTGGTGACAAGACTATATTATTTTATTAAATATTTAATAAAAATAGGTAAAGAAAGAGATTAAAGTTTGACTGTGTAAAAAGTAAGTAAGAAGAATATTTTATGACGAATGGAGTAGAAATGAAACTCATAAAAAATGAGAGTATATCCTTACCACAAAGACCATCCCCCAAATGGGTCGGCTCACATAATAATTATGCAACAATAATACTCCCTCCGTCCCGTGAAACATGGGACATTTGCTTTTTAAGAGTGATTTAAGGGAGTGTATTTTTGTATTGAATTTCCAAAAATGTCCTTTGATGTGATGTGTAAAAGTATGATTTGATGGATAGATTATTAGTAAAAGGGTATGATGTGATAGTTAGAGTATGAAAAAGTAAGGGGTAAAAGTGACATTTTAATAGAAATGAGAAGTGTTTTGTGGGACGGATAAAAAAAGAAAGGGGAAATGTTTCACGGTAAGTTGCATGCGGCCGACCCTCAAAAGGCAGCAGTTTTTCCCCCCACTATCAAATCACTACCCTCCACTCTCACTCCTCTCTTCTTTATAAACTCCCAATAAACTCCTTTTATATATATTACATCAAATCAAAGATTCATATAGGATTATTATTAATTACAAATAACATAATACCACATATATTCCTTGGCCTCCATTTCATATATATTTCATTATTAAAGAAATATATACAATGAAATCCATTATTAGTAGGAGGATTCTTGTCTTGGTTTTCTTCATTTCCTCGAGAGCTGCCGCTAGTGGCGGCGGCGGTGAAATCTCCCAGCCTCCTTACTACCCACCCCAGGCTGCACCCGCACCCCAGGGTGGAGGCTACGAGCAGTCGTTTGCAGACGTCGTCTTCGACGTCCTGTCTTACGGCGATGTCGGAGACGGCGTTGCAGACGACACGTCGGCGTTCAAGATGGCGTGGGACCACGCGTGCCAGAGCGACTCGCCGCCCGTCGTGTTGGCCCAAAGACACCGCGTTTTCTTGATCCAACCCACCATCTTCACTGGCCCTTGCAAAAGCACAATGACGCTTCAGGTACATATATATTTATATATACTCTTGAGTTGAACCAACTGATTATGAATGATGTTGACATGTTAGTATTGATTATCATGTGATTGAGGGTTCCAGAATTGAAAAATAAATTGAAAAAAACTTGATATTTTACCTCGTTTTTCGAAATGTGGTAACATTTAGGGACGGAGGGAGTAGGTAACGTTATTATTGTCGTTCTCCTTGTAGATTGAAGGGACGATAATGCCACCGGACGGACCGGAATCGTGGCCGGAAAACATGACCAAGAGGCAATGGTTAGTTTTCTACAAAATGAATGGGATGAATATGGAAGGTGGTGGAGTGATAGATGGGAGGGGTGAGAAATGGTGGGATCTTCCTTGCAAGCCTCACAGGGTACATTTATTTCATCCTCTTGCTACCTAAATGAGCCCATCCACAATCTAACATTTGTAGTTTTATAAGATAAAACTCAATATATTTGGATGAATTTCACTTTAAAGAAGTAATCCGGATATAGCAAATTTTTATAAAATTATTTATGACAAATATATTTACTAATGGTAAAAGAATTACATTAGTAACAGTAAAAGTTAAATATAAAGATTTTTTTTTGGGACCTAGTAATTATAAGAAAATCTTTGTGACTGATTTGGTAATGTGTTAAACGCGACAGGGAGTCAACGGAACAACCCTAGAAGGCCCTTGTGATAGCCCAGTGGTATGCCCCAAATTTATGGAGGTTTATATATATATATATATATATATATATATATATATATATATATATATATATATATATATATATATATATATATATATAATAAAAGCCCCAAACTATATATATTATAGTAAGTTTTTAAAGAGCGTCGTCTGTTTTCGTCTTCGAAAAATTTATGAGACGGAGAAAGCTAAGTACTACCTTCGTCTCTGAGGATTTGTCCACTTTTGACTTTCTTTCAGTCAATTATTTTTAAGCTTTGACCTATATTTAAATAAAATATATATTATATATTAATTAGATAAACTACTGTTTTGAAAATACTTTACATAATAAATCTAATAGAAGTATTTGGTATCAATATCTAATATTATTTTTATTTAATTTAAGGTTAAAGTTTACCAATTTTGATCAAAAGAAAATCAGACAAAAACTCAGGGACGGGGGAGGGAGTATATATATATATATATATATATATATGTTAATAATAATAATAATAATAGTGGGAGTGTATATAAGAAATGCAGGCAATAAGGTTTTTTGGGAGCAGAAAAGTGAAGGTGAGGGAGGTGAAGATGAAGAACAGCCCTTTATTCCACATGAGGTTTGATAGGTGCAATGATGTGCACATAGATGCAATCCACATCAATGCACCACCACACAGCCCAAACACTGATGGAATCCACATTGAGAACACTTTTGATGTTACTATACACAACTCCATTGTTTCCAATGGTATATATATGTATATATATATGTCATCAATTACTATATTTTTTTTACTTTTTTTTTATTAAAAAAATCCCATAGTTATTTTCTTTTTAAATTTTGCATCCAATTAAATTATTGTTACCCTTTTTTCGTTATATGTTAGGGGATGACTGTATATCCATTGGAGCAGGCTGTTACAATGTAGATATATGGAACATGACTTGTGGTCCTGGTCATGGGATCAGGTATATTATCAGAAATATTTGCACTAAATATCACTAAAACTTAAATCATATTATTAAGAAAAAAAGCTAAAATATAATTAAAACATTGAAAATATACTAAAATATGATATCTGCATTTTTATTCTCGAAAAAAAAGTTAAAATGCATTTACAACGTCAATCATGACGATATATATTACCAAAATATTTTGTGAAATGCTCGTATACACTGCCACATTACCACAGTGCAAACTCTTATTTTGAAAATAAAAAAATGGAGCTCCTATTTTGTTACTTTCTTTAAGTTTTACTCCTATTTAGGGTGATTAGTTTATTATTAATTACTTCTTGATACTCCACCATTTAATTAATTACTATTATTCACAAAATTCATATTATGATTAAATAAGAGTAATTGTTTTTCCCAAAACTTTGTCAAATTTTGTAAAATTTGGTCTAACATGTACAAAAAAATGTATGGTGATGGTGCAGTATAGGCAGCCTGGGCATGAGAAACAGCAAAGCATGTGTGTCAAACATACGTGTAACGGACTCGACGATCCGCGATTCGGACAACGGGTTGCGGATCAAGACGTGGCAGGGCGGGACGGGGTCGGTCTCGGGGGTGTCCTTCGACAACGTAAGGATGGACGACGTCCGGAACCCGATAATCATCGACCAGTACTACTGCAACAACAAGGCCATGGGGAGCTGCACAAACCAGACCTATGGGGTGCACATATCAGGGGTTTTGTACTCAAACATTAAGGGCACATATGACGTCAGGAGCCCTCCAATGCACCTGGCTTGCAGTGACAGTGTCCCTTGTACCAACTTGACACTGTCCGAGGTGGAGCTGTACCCTTCCCAAGGGCAGAGGATGTGGGACCCTTTCTGCTGGAATGCCTATGGGGATCTAGTAACTGTCACCATTCCACCTGTCCTCTGCTTATTGGACGGCCTTCCTCAGTCTTTTCCAAGTATTTATGATGATCATTGTTGGTGATGATCAAGGATTAAACAGAGCTCTTGATTAGATTTATATATGCCTCTAGATTATTTGTGAAAATTTCAACCCAAAAAAAAAGTGATTTATTTTGATAAGTTAATTACGGAGTAATTAATTAGTGGGGTTTTAATTTTTTTTACACGAGAGATCGATGTCATAAAAATAAATCGTGTCAATTAAAAATCTAACCTTTAGGTGCTTCGTCCAACCCCGCATGGGTTCTTATACATCCAATCCACTCCGAATACGGAGTGTTATTGTACGTAAACTCTCAAATAACCGAATATGGAGTATCATGTTATGTTTCCAATAATTGGCGTCGAAAGAACTATACTCAATTACTAAAGTTTATTTGTGGAGGGAAGGAGTAATTAGTAACGAAATGGAAGCGTTGACACTGTCTTCAGTTAACACCACTGGTTGACACTTCTACGATGCATCGTTCAAAATACTAATGATTTACAGTTTAACCTCCTTAAACTTTGTCTTATGCCCCCCTCTCATTTGTCATTTGGCAATGTTAAATTAAATATTGTTGCCAAATGACAAACATTAGGCGTGAGGTGCACTCGAAGGCTAGGTTCAAGGAGAGATTAGAAAGAGTATGAATCATTAATTTTTCAAACAAAAAACTAGTAAATATCATAAATGAACACTGTCAATTGTTGTCAACAAAAATCTCTATCAACCAGTAATCGGATGAAATAAAATAAAGTGAATTAAGCTACTTGTATCCCAAATTGTACACCGTATGTATGCACCTTCATTTTGTGCTAGGGTGATAGTTTACATAGACAAAATGTTAGTGTGAAACTTTTTTATCGCACTAACATATTACGTCAGTGTGAATCATCGAAATGTTAGCACATAACTTTGGTCTATACTTTGGGATACATTCCATGGGGTACCTCCAACATGATTGAAATCAAGTACTCCCTAGTTTTTATAGAGTTGTACTTTCATGATTTTAGGGTACACATGTAAAATGTGAAACTTCTCGTATTTTGACATGAGAATCTTTTCTTTTTTCAAATAAATAGAATTCATCCATGATATTAATTTGGACCGTGCTACAGTGCACCCACCCCTGCCTCCTTTGTTGCCTTTTTATTTAAGCTTTTTTTTACCTTTTCTCCTTTTTTTCTTTTTTCTTTCCTTTACGACCCGTTCGCAGGTTGCCGCCGAACAGTTACCTTACCCTTTGCCGTCGACCTGTTCCCAGTCCCTCACCCCACCCTTCGTCGGTCTATTCTCGCCGGCCAGTTGCCCTTCGCCGTCGATCTCTC